GGGCTGGGGGGGCAGCCCTGCCTCACCCCCGACCGGATGGGGATCTCCGCGGTCTCCCCGTCGGTGGCACGGACGGTCGTGGTGCAGTTGCGGTAGAGCTCTCGCACCAGGTTGATGACGCCGTCCGGCAGGCCCAGCTCGTGGAGGGTGCCGAAGATGTGGCGGTGGGGCACAGAACCGAAGGCGTTGGAAATGTCCAGCCACGCCACCGCACACTGCTTCCTCGTCCTCTGGGCGTTGTCCAGGGCCATCTGGAGGGTGAAATTGTGTTCGTAGTAGCCCTCCGTCGACATGAACCCCTCCTGGCTCCAGCTGACGGCCCTGCCGGTCACCGCACAGTCGGTGATGCGGCCCGCCAGGCAGCTGGCATAGAGCTTGGCGACGGTGGAGCACAGGGCGATGGGTATCCAGTTGCCCGGGTCAGTTGGGTCTCCCTTCTTGTGGATGGGGACCGTCATGGCCCTCTTCCAGGTGGCAGGCGTGCGCCGGAACTCTCTGCATCTGTTGAAGAGAACACAAAGAATGAGGCAGCCCGGGTCATGTTTTTTGAGGAGACCGTACCTTATCCCGTCCCTGCCAGGGGAGGTGTCCCTGGTCCTCTTCAGGCGGGCTTCCACTTCCCGTGGTGCGAAGGCTTCCTCGAACCCCTCCGCCAGGGGGACGGGGGTCAGCGCTCCGACAGCCGCAGGGCATGGGGTGGCAGTTTCTGCCGGGGGGTTGAAGACTCTGCTAAAGTAATTGAAAAGAGCCTCCCGGGGGACTTGGCAGAAGGCCGAGGGTCCCTCCAGGATCTCTGTCACCGCCTTGGGATGGTTGGCCCGGTACAGCTTCTGGATCTGGGAGGCTGCTGCCGGGTTGTAGCACTGGCGCCTGGGTTGCCTCTGCAGCTGCGGCCTGTGGTCCCATCACATCGCCGGTCTATTGTTGTTCCCTCGGGGTTGGCCGGGCCGGGTCGCCGCCGAGAACTCCTCTGTGAGCCGGGCCACCGAGGCCTTGAAAGTCTCGAAGGTGGTGGCCCGGGAGAGCTCCTCCAGCCAGAGGGTCTGCCATGGGGTGGGCATTCTCTGCTGTGGGGAGGGCTCCGCACCGGGAGATCCCAGCACGCTCGGGGACCAGAGGGCACCTGGTGGCTTGGTTCCTCCCGGCGGCTCCGGGATCCTTGGTGGGTTGGGGGCCTCAGGTGGCCCCGGGGGTCCGGGAGGAGGGTTGTCCGGTTGGGGCATCGTGTCCGGTTGGGGGTCCATGGGCGTAGGCCTGCACGGTGGCATCATCGGGGCAGGTCTCTCGGTCGGGTGGTCCCCGGAGGTCTGGTCGGTGGGGTTGTCGGCGGGGTGGCCAGTCTGGCAGACCTTCGCACCGCGGCCTGGGTGCAACGGGCCGGGGCGGCGGACCTCACCAGCGTGCCGGGTCTCCTCTCGGCTCTGTGGCCTTGGCATACCTTATGGTGATTTTTGAGGAGCTTCAAGGCCTCGTATTCGGTGCCTCAGAGGGCGCAGTAGAACTCTAGGCGCAGTTGGTGGAAGCGCCCTAGGTGCTTGTTCATATCGCCATGCGACCTGTACTGTACTACACTTGTACTACACTGTACTACGACCTGTACTGTACTACACCTGTACTACACTTGATCTGAGCCTTCAAGAGGCTGAGAAGCAGCTACACTATACCTGGTACCTGTCCTGGCCATACTGTGCCCCACATGGTGCCTACTCCAGAATGCATTGCTGCACATGATGCCCATCCTGGCAGCTCTGGGATCCCCACCACATCTAGTGCCTTCTTCAGCCACCCAGGGACCTGAACTGTGCTGCATGCATTGCTTATTCCAACTGCTTCAGAATCTGTGTGCATCATGGGTCCCAAACCAGCTGAAGCAGATCCTGGATCCAGTAGGCTGGAGAGGGGGTTAGGGGAGGGAAGGGAAGTCCATGGGCTTGATCTGATTTACAGGCCAGCCCCACACTACTCATCTGGTCTGTGGGGCCAGATGAGTTTGACACCCATGGCCTATTGTGACCATACCCGTATTAAAGGCCAGATAATTTCACTCCAGCACTCTATATTGAACCCAATAACTTCTGTGCTTGAAGGCATCATGACTCAGAAAATAGAACACTGGACAGGGACTTCCTCTTTCTGGCTCTACCTGTGGCCTGTTGGATGACTTTAGACAAGTCAGTTCACTGCTTTGTTCCTTGCTTTTTCCATCTTCAAAGGGGTCAATGTACTTTGGTTTCTGCTGATTAAATAGAGTTCTATAACAGCTTGGTATTAATAGTATTGTGTTTGACTAAAGTATAATTTGTTTGACTATGGCCAGGAAGTCTGTGTACTTTGAATCTGGTACTTAAATTATTATTCTATTCTCTCTGACTTGGTGCTGTTGCCTAGTTCAACAGCTGCTCTTTGGTGCTGGTGTGATGTGGTTAAAAAGAATGACTTCTGTTTTGCTCTCTGAAGACATGTGAATGCAGCTAATTATCTTGCTCACTGGTGGGCAGGGACAGCTCATGCTGGTAGAGAGAAGAGGAAGACTGAGTTTGAGGGCTTTGAAGTGCAACCAGATAAGGCAAAACATAGGGTGAAGGAAGATTACTGCATAAGCCAGTTTGCTTCTTGATCCAATCTGTTGCACCGTACTTCCAACCTGTCAGCCTCCGGATTATCACGGTGGACCTGTATATTCATTAGGGGTGCACCGATAAAGATTTTTTTAGCCAATACTGATGGCCATTTGTTAACTGGCTGATTGTTAACCAGTACTGATTCGATTGCCGATATGCAACCCAGAAACTTGGAGAGCAGCATCTGGGTGGGGGGAAGGGGTGTGGAGGGGGCAGATCAAGGCACCCACAGTGAGGGAGAGAATGGGGCTGGGTCAGGGACAGGAGTAGGCATTGCCCAGCTGGGGCAGTGCAGGGCATGGGATGGAGCTGCAGGAAGCTGATCTGGAGGGGGGTGGCTCCCACTGCTGTGTGCACCCCTGAGGGAAGCATGGGGGGCATGTGCCCCCTGGATTCATGCGTGGAGCAAGGGTGGGCTGCCCACTGGAGGCTTGGGGTCAGGGGTTGTGCAAGCCTCTTCCTGGCAGGGGGGCTGAGCTGAAGCTGTGCTCAGGGTGGCCGGTGGTGGTGTTGGGATGGGGGGCTGTAGGGTGGGCTTCAGGTGATTCCCCCAAAGCCCCGAGACCTATGCAGGAGCTGGTGAGTTCTGGGGTTTTTTTCATTTTTTTTCTTAGCTCCCCCCTCTTCCCGCCCCCCCTCACCTCTCTACTACTTACCAGCTCCGAGTCCGGCTCCAGCTCCCTGCTGCAGCGGGTGGGGACTGCACGAATCATCAAAGCGCTCTGAATTGTTTCCGAAGATTTGGAGAGCTTTGAATCGATTCGGACCTTTTTATTGGTCCCCCGATTCAATTCAGATTTGAAGATTCGTCCACCGAATCGGGCCAAATCTCCTCCGAATCGAATCAGCACCCAAAGAAGCTTCGCACAGCCCTACTGGGCAGCCCCTGCCCCACTCTCTCCTTCACCATGGGGGCCTCTATCTGCCCCCCACACTCCCCTTCCTCCCACAGACTTATTGGCCAGAAGCTGCCAGGCTGCATTCCTGGCCACATGCATGCTACGGCTGCTCACATGCACGCAGCATTTATTGGCGACTATCAGCTACATCAGCCAAAAAATAGCCGATAACATCAACTTTTATAGGTGCCAATATGATATGGACCGATATATCAGTGCACCTCTAATATTCATTTTCCAGGATTAAATATCTGATAGCAGTGGCATTGCAAAATTATGATGAGGTTGTGACAGGTCCCTGCAGCCATTATTTGAGCTAGCTTTGGAAAATGGACTGATTTAACTTGATTAAGGGCTTTCTTTTTTCTTCCCATCAGAAGCCTATAAAGGGGCTCAAATACTCTTTCTGTCTAAACCATTTAGCTTTTATGTGCAGGTGGTTATTATAAGAATTGCTGATGCTCTTCGAAGCAGGCTGAAGAAATCTGCAAAACCTATTTCATTGCATTTCCATACTTTTGGGGGGGATATGCAATATACTACATAAGTCACTGGGCCAAAAGACTCCTTTATCATCTGTATCAAAAGATGCACTAGCTGGGAACATCCTGCAGAAGTCTTCAGAGCCCTGTGATGTGGGTGGTCACATTCCTCCCTCTTGGGGGATATAGAAAAACGTTATCATTACATAACGTTCCTCTGCAAATCTGGTTACAGCAAATAAATTGAAAGAGGCTGGATGAGTGGAGCCTCCACAATAGAAATTCTTCAGATATGCTAAACATTTTCAAGAACAACAGCAAGAAAAAAAATTTTGGCTTGCCTTTGGGTGGAGACAGTGTTTTCTGCAGTCTTGGGAACTACTTAAATCACAGCCATAAACCCTAGAAATTGGATTTCATTGCAGGTGTACAGTCTAGTAGCTTGCTGAGACCTTGAAGGTTGTATCAGATTTTCCTTTAAACTTGCCCAGGTTTTTAAATGCTGACTAATGCATGCCTTGCTGCTTATTTACAATGCTCCAGGTTTACACTGGTTTATGAAACATACAACTAAAATATATGGAGGGCTGACTGTCCAAAGGAGAAACTAGTATTGCTTCTTTGAAACAGACTTGCCCAGAGCCCAGATCTGAGATGTCATGGAAGAATTACTGAGACTCATCCAGCCCTCTGACTACTACCCCATGCTGCTCCATCCATGTAGGCATGAATGATGCTGCCAGGGTGACCCTGAGCAGATCAAAAGCGACTACAGGGCTCTGGATGCAAGGGTGAAGGGGATGGAGGCTCAAGTGGTGTTTTCCTCAATCCTTTTATTACAAATGCTTTAATTTTTTGCTGTACAACAAAAGCTTTAATTTTAGCGAGACTTTTGTTGTGATCGGTTACAGATACAGAGGAGGAAGCATTTATGTATTCACTCCAGAATGATCTGCTTCTTTTATTTTTAACATGTGTAATTCCCCTGAACTACTCTTTCAAAGAGGATAGCGTGTAGGAATTTACCTAGGCAAGGAAAAAAGTGCACTTCAAAAAATGTTTAATAGTTAACTCTCCTGCCTTTTCCTCATCCTCTGTCACTAGGGGCATTTTTACATGTGCTTCCGATGTGGCGGTGGGCACTTCTACTTAGTGAGTTGTGCTAATTAAAAGCACCTGCATGTCACACGTATCAGCGGTGCAGCGTGCCTCTGTGCCAACAAAATGGCAGTGTGCTTTGAACTAAAACACATCGAACATGTTTTAGTTCAAAGTGCGCTGCTGCTATTTTCTCTGTGTGGAGGCATGCTGTGCCACTGATGCATGAGGCTGCCAGAGTGCGTCAGTTTACATGCTCCAGCAGACGCAATTAATCAAGTCTCCTCTGATGCACTGGATTTCCAATGCGTCGGAGTAGGCTTCCCACGTGTGTGTAAGTGCCCCAAGTTTCCTCCCCCATTCAGTTAGGGACCCACACTTTCCCTTTTCTTCTCTGGTTGCTGATATACTTATAGAAACCCTTGTTACACTTCACATCCCTTGCTAGCTGTAACTCCAGTTGTGCTTTGGCCTTCCTGACTTCATCTCTGTATTCCTGAACAATACTCTTATACTACTCCCTGTTTGTCCAAGCTTCCACTTACAAGCTTTCTTTGTGTTTTAGCTCACAGAAGAGTTCCCTGCTAAGCCAAACTGGTCTTTGGCCATACTTGCTAGTCTTCATGCACACTGGAATGGTTCTTTCTTGCCTCCTCAGTAAGGTTTCTTTAAAGTACAGTTAGCTCTCCTGGGCTTCTCTCTCTCCCCCTCAGACTGGCCTCCCAAGGGATCCTGTCCATGAGTTCCGTGAGCAAATCAAAGTCTGATGTCTTGAAGTCCAGGGTCTTTACTGTGCTGTTCTTCTTTCCTTTCCTCAGGATCCTGAACTCAGTCATTTTTGGATACTGCTGCCCAAGTTTCCATCCCCTACTACATTCCCCACCAAGTCTTCCGTGTTCATGAGCAGCAGGTCGAGAAAAGCATGGCTCATACTTGGTCTCATCAACAGTTGCACCAGGAAGTTGTCCCCAACACTTTTTAGAAACTTCCTGTATTGTGTGTGCAGTGCTGTACTGCCCTCCCAGCAGATGTCAGGGTGATTGAAGCCCCCCCATGAGAACCAGGGCCTGTGACCAGGAAACTTTTGCTGGCAGTTTGAAGAAAGGCTCATCCAGCACATCCTCCTAGTTTGGTGGTCTATAGCAGACGCTTACCATGATATCGCCCTTGTTGCTCTACCCTCTGACCCTAACCCAGAGACTTCCAACAGGCCTATTTCCAGTTTCATACTGGAGCTCTGAGTAATCATACAGCTCTTTTTACATAAAATGCAACTCTTCCTCCTCTTTTCCCTGGCCTGTCCTCCCTGAACAGTCTGTGCCTATTTATGACAGTGTTCCAGTCATGTGAGCTTTCCCACAGAGTCTCTATTATTCCAATCATGTCATAGTTCTGGGACTGTGCAAGGACTTCTGATTCTTCCTGCTTGTTTTCCAGGCTCCGTGCATTCATGTACAGACACGTGAGGTAACTAGCTGATTGCCCTACTTTCTCAGGAAGA